AATAATGGGAACATCATTAAGGGATGGGAGTGTTTGGAGTTCAAGTAAGAAAACCTGTGGAATATCAAATAAAATCCCTGTAAAGTATAGTACATTTTGTGGTTTTAATGTAACAAAATGTGGAAACATTTTTAAGGGGTAAACATTAATTCTTTCAAAAGGTTTCCCAGAAGAGGCTCAACTTGTGTGAGAATTGTGGCCTTAACTTTCCGCAGTTTCTGTTTTCTCTCGTATTTTTTGTATGTTTCTTCTTCCCAATAATGCATAGGGTTCAATGTTTGTACCCAATGAAAAAGGGAAGTAGACAGTGTTTGAAGACAGAAGGGAAGTTTAGCCTTGGTTGATGGCATCGTTAGAGAAAGCGATATTTTTTCTAGTTACTGTAGATGAAAATGAATATTTTTCTGCTGTTCAGAGTATTTCAATGACCTAATGATGATTTAAATGAAGGATCTTGAAGATATAAATGCATAAATGCTGTCCTGCGGTGTACTTCCCAGGTGTCTGTTACAGCCAGAGAAGACGTTCCTCCTTTTGGGCCCGTCATCCCAGATCCTCCTCTTTTTACAGATGTAAGACACTTCATTTTTTTTACTATTTTATTTTATTATTTAGGGTTTTTGTTTCTTGAAGTTCTGAGTTTCAGGCAGATATGTACTTACCGGCTGGCTAATCTCCTGCTGGATTAGACTGTCCTCTTATTTTTGAAGTGGTCTTGGTCAGTAGTCCTCAACAGCTTGTTAACGTTTTTCTTTGGGTGTTGGCTGCTTTTCACCTCATCTGGAGAAAAAGAAACAAAAAGTCTTGTTTTATCCAAACTTTCCTTTGAACCAAAGAGAAGTATGTATAAAGGCTAACTTTTTGTTCTAAAACTTTTCTATTTTGTCATCATCTTTTTGTTTTTTTAAATATGTAGAGACATTATGAAATCTTTGCACACTTTGGATTAGACTGAAGTAATTTCAGGATTCAGTAAAAAGCAGATTATTTATATCGTAAAAATGTTGAATCAATATTTGAATCAACTACCTCTACTCATTCAGATATTAAAATGTTCTTAAGACCGTAACATCAACACAAATATTATAATCTAGCAGAGAAACATTTGTAAATTGAATATTTAGGCATTACTATACTGACAGTTTGTCACAAGGATCTGATTTGTTGCCATTTCTCAGTCGATTTCTAAGTCCTGTGTTAAGTTTTTCCTAAAGATCTTTCTTTATCTTAAAGTTATTCAGACATTGTTAATGACTGTTTTAAGCCTCAGATCTGTTCATTTTCCTTCCTCTTGTTCACTTTTCTCATTTTATAAGCACTGCACTACAAGCTGTAATGGACTGCTACGAGTACTGGACAAAAAGAAAAGAAAAATCAGCCAAATATGAAATAAATATGTAGAAAACTATTTATCAAAACCACACAGTACATGAAGTAAGTTAGAAAAGAAAATAAAGATACAATAGGTGGATTAAAGTTTTTTTTTTTATGGTCTCAATTTCACTGTCAAGCCTGTTAAGGTTTAACTTTATTGGATCTTTTCTGCATATGATTTATGCATGAAAGTCTTCCAATAAACCTGAACTGTGTCACAATGATGAATTGTTCTCCCTTTCTTGTTTCTAAGCGTTCACAACTGAGGGAATTTCTTCTCACCAAGCTCATCAACGCAGAGATCGCCTGCTATAAGGCGGAACAGTTCAGCAGACTGGAGGTAGCATGAGAAAAAAACGTGTTTTCATTAGCACTCTTTAATAACACCCAGACCTGTTCTGTAATTTGTTTTCCTCTTATAAAAGTATTTTCTGGCGCCTGCTCCTCTCATGTTAAGCTGCGTACACGCTCGTCACTCCTGGAGAGCTTGCACAATGAACTGTTCAGCCGCTCCCGCTGCATGATGGGAGATCCGTCAATCGCTGCCGCCCCACCTTCTGAGAGCACAAGAGGCCCATCTGAAGGAAGTGGAGGTTTTATTGAAAATTTTAAGGTGAATGCTGGCACAGCAAAGAAACTAATCACATAATTTACCTTTAAAGTGAGGTTCTGTTTAAAGGTTATTAACAATAACCTATCAGAAGTAGACACGTTGCTTTTTTAATAAATAAAAAACTGCTTGTCAGACAGAAACCACGACTTCCATGATCCTAAGTAACTCCATGGCAGATTATTTTGCATTAAGCAGAATATAATACAAAAGTCACTGAATATTCAACTAGGAAATGGAGGCCGGAGGCGTCATCAATGTGAAACATACGATGGGCCAGACATGCAAAACATTTCCAGTAAGAGTAACTTTCAAACTTATGAAGTAAATGACAGTAAAAAGCAAAAGCAGTATAGTGATTTAATTCTATTTTATTGATTTTCACATTGCTTAATAATTTTTTCTGAGACACTTTCTGCAGACAAGAGAGAAAATAAACAGTTAACAAACTTTTACTGTAGCCAAAATAACGAAAACGGTTCAGGAAACATTTCATGGAAAATAGGAGGTTATTTTTGGATTAATCTGAAGGCCCGGAGCATATTTTGAAGGGGTCTGGAGGAAAAACATTTTTGTCAGGTAAAAGGTTCAATCTCATACTTCCATGTTCACTACAGCAGTAAATCTCACTTAAAATGTTTCTGCACAGGAGGATTATGATGCACTGCCTCCTACTTCCTCTTTCCATGTAAACAATCATCTTCTTTTAAATAACAGATGACAGATGAATGTGGCAACAGTTCAAAGGTTTATACCAAATATGTTTAAGAAGGTAAAAGTCCACTTTGGTCTTCACCCCCTGAGAGAACTTAATCTGGTTTTATACTAAGCAAGTTATGTTCTGCAGATGAATAGGTAACACTTTATTTGAAGGGGGGTGAATAAGACTGTCATGACACTTTCATAAACATGACATAACACCTGTCATGAACATGAATAAGCCTTCATGAATATTTATGACTGTTGTCATAAAGCGTCATTCGGTAAATTATGACACTTTTAATACAAAGTTGACATTATTCAAAATGTCTTTATGACAACTTGACATTAACCAATAAATCATTACTGTTTAAACTTTACCTTTAATAACATAAAGTTACCTAATTTTTAAAGTGCAATCAGTAATACTTTTATAACAAATTTATATCAGTAATGACTTCTTGGTTAATGTCAAGTTGTCATAACAAAGACATTTTGAATAATGTCAACTTTGCATTAAAAGTGTCATAATTTACCGAATGACGCTTTATAACAACAGTCATAAATATTCATGAAGGCTTATTCATGTTCATGACAGGTGTTATGTCAGTCTTATTCAACCCCCTTCAAATAAAGCGTTACCTAAATTTCAAATGCAAATATTCTTTTTCCTGAACCTCATCTCAAAAGCCCTGAACTACCTTCTAAATATTTGATCATTTTCTTCTCCAAAATCATTGTTTCATTAGCGAGCCATCAGAGTGCGAAGCCATTCATTTGAGACTCTGGGTGTTCCCAGGAAGAGCACTGGGAATTCATCACAAAAGCCAAAGGTAAAACATATTTTAGAGCACTTAATTAGACTGAGTGATTATCATTTTTAATCAAAGAATATTGAAGCGTTTTCTTCCTGTGCAGGTGGACAAAGATGCAGAGAGGTAAGGCAAAACAGTCAGACGGGTTTTCCTGACTTTGTGCCCTGAGATGAAAATATGAAACTGCTTCTTTTTTTTTCAGTGACAGCTCGGGAACGGCTGAACTCAAAGACCAAGCAAGTCCTCAAGAGGAGACATAAAGAAAACCTTTAATTGGAGATTCTAGATCCATATGACAATTTAGAGACTAGCTTTTTACCTTTGTCATACCTGTGAATTACCTGTTTGTAAAGAGAATTTAAAAGTAAATAGATTTTGTAGAAAGTATATTTATTATACAATCATAGAGACATTTTAGATTGAGAACATTTAAAATGTAAATTTTTGAGAACGGCACAAAAAAAGATTATGATTATTTTAACAGCTAACATTTAGTCTGGCTTCGGTGATTCATTTATACTGATACAGTAGTTAATTAAAAACATAGAGCTTTAGAGATTGATCTGATAGTACAAATCAAACTATTAATTTGGAGACATTGTCACTTTAGTTATTTATGATGCCCCTATTACACTACTTTAAAGATTGCATTTAGTATCGACACATGAACAAATGTAAATCAGAAATGACTCATAAAGCATGATTTGAATGAAGCAAAAACTTGAGTTTGGGTGTTTTTGTTTGGCATGTAGAGCAGAATAAAGTTTTAGAGCTCTTTGAGTTTTACATTAAATAAAGTGGTAATGGTTACAAATGCTGAAGATTTTTGGATATTTCAACTTGCTCCAAACTAACTGATAGTTTTGCTTGTAATGTTGTCTTTTTGTGTGTAACGTTATGTAGCATTTCAGCAAATACGCATCTACAAATATCACAAAAGAAAATCCTAGTTTGCAAAAAAGGATTTTTGCCAGTAGGTGGCAGTCGTAGCTTATAATAAAGAAAGTGAGAGGGAAAGAAATAATCAAGTTTGATTGACTAAATATATTAAGAGAAGAATGGACATATATCAGATGAATGTACCCTAGTGCCTCTTTAAAGTTAAAGCATTAACACAGTAACAACGAAGTAAGTCTTTACCATTTGGAATGTTGTGTAGCAAAGAAAAGTCAGGAAAAAGTAAACTATGAAAACACAGAAAAAAAAAATTATGCATCTAAATCAGTACACGAGTTAAGGCTTGAAGATGACACAATGACATCCCTGTTAAATATGCTTAAAATAGCCTGCAATGACTTCAATTTCTCACTGTAGCATAAGCTCACCCTCAGCACATTTGGAAAAGATACAATCTTTAATTTGAGAATATTTATCTAGTATAAAGATCCGTATTTGTTGTGGGGTTTTTTTATTATAAAATATAATATATTTTATTTTCAGAGATTTTAATGTTGGTTTATTTCCTATACATCACTCTACCAGTAGATGGCAGGATCGCAAAGTAACGTTGTTGGTCAACCTCCATTAAGAACCAGAAGAAGAGAAATGCTACTTTTGAGAAGTAGTTGTTTTTTTCTGATTTAATATTTTAATGTGTTATTTGAGTTAATGTTACTTCGTGGAGTAACCAGTTGTAGCGCTGTGGCTAACTGCTAACGAATTTGCGCTGTTTGTTTATCATTTCTCTGCCGAACTACAAACGCCAAGCTAGGTTGCTCTGCGTCAGGTTAGTTCAACTTTGACTCACTTGGAGATTCTCCAAGGTTGCTTGATAGAGCAGCACAAGAACTTCGACCTGTACCGAGTTAAGTTAGTGTGAATCTAAACGTAAGGGTTAGCATTTGCAAAGATAAAGACCCGAAGATGACCTCAAAGAAAGTGGTGGAGCTGTTCTATGATGTGGTCTCACCTTACTCCTGGCTCGGGTTTGAGGTTTGTGTCTTCCTTCTTTCTCGTCCTGCAGATCCAGTCCATATTTTGGCGTGTTTAAAACCATGCTTTGTATTCCCAGATCATCTGCCGCTATAGAAACGTGTGGAACATCAACCTGAAGTTTCGTCCTGCGTTCCTCGGAGGCATCATGCAAGGAGCAGGTCAGTGAGCATGAAGGATCTAGAAAGTGTAAATTAAATCTCATGTGCATGCTTATATCCTCGTGGAATGGACTGGAAAAATAATCAGTGTCTTTCATGACAGGAAACAAGCCTCCTGGTTTAGTTCCCAACAAATTTGCCTACATGACTAAGGATCTCCACCGCCTGGCCAACTACTTTAGCGTCCCTTTACACCCACCTGCTGACCCATTTGAGGTCATGTTCCAAAAAGGTAAATACTATCAATACTATCAGCATGGGTTCTCTGTTGGGCTCTGATCAGACGGGTTACTTAAATTGAGTCAGACGGTCCCCCAAATGTTGTAGTTTCTACTTAAATAAGTAGCACTTAGTATCTTACAGTAGCACAGACAAGTCAGCAAAATGCAAAAGCCTCAACGCAGCAACAAAAAGCTTGAAATATTACTTCCTAGAAATGATTGCATCCCAGCATTCCTTTAAGATTGCAGTTAGTCACACATAATACTGCACTGATGACTGCCGTTCGACATATTGTGCAGCATTATGTCATTATTTCAGGTCAAGATCATTACTTTTGGACTCAAATGTCCAGGATGTGACAAACCTGTTTTCCAGGTTTGGAAAAGGAAATGAAAGCATGGAACACATTTGCATTTTCAGACTTCTATTAATTTCATTGTCTGTTCAAATGCCATTTTTACACATGTGAAAAAATAAGTAACTCATTTTAAGACTTTTGATCATTGTGTGGGAAAACAAATGCAGCACTGGATCAGTCCAGTGATGAGGAAGGAAGTGGATCCACGTGTGACAGAAGCTCTGCAAACTAAAAGGATAAGAGGTGGTCCTCCGGTATGAGGACCCGTAAATGTTTGCGGATATGAGAGTCTTAAACCAACATTTCTGACTCAGCATTGGGATGCTGACAAAGACATTCGAAGCAATAAAAATGGAGGAGTGTCTGATTCTTATCCAAACCCTGTCCAAGTTCCATTAGAGTGAAAATACAATAATAAATACAATCACATGAATGTTACCGTTGCTGCAAAATGAAGTCAGTTTTTTTTTCCCAGGTTGTACAAACAATTAAAAGAAGTTATTTTCTAAAATTAGTAATTAGCATTAGCAAGAGCTAAATGATAGTAAAATAAAGATTTAATTGCTAGCTGTTATATAAACAGTACAGTAAAGACAATCTGTGATTTATCAGGAATTTTCTGGTAAATAAGACAGAGTACTTCTTTTCTTTTTAGGAACTTTGTCTGCGATGCGGTTCGTGACAGCAGTGCAGCACATGGAGACGGATGGAGACAAGCAGGTGGAGCAGGTTTCCAGGGAGCTGTGGAGGAGGATCTGGAGTGAAGACAAGGATGTCACTAAACCTGAATCCTTCTCTGAGGTTGTTGCTTAAAAACACACGCATTGGTCCCATTTCTGATTAGATTTTGAGTTGCATTCATTTCTATCTGTTGTGTTTTGTTTTGTTTTTTTCCAGGCAGCCAAAAAAGCAGGACTGAGTGACGATGAGATTGAAAAAGCGCTAGAGTTGTCCACCTCGCAGGAGATCAAAGATAAGCTTAAACGTTCAACAGAGGAGGCCCTCAACTACGGGGTTGGTGGTGCTTTTGCGTTTATTTTAAAGAAACAATACTTGTGATTTATTTATTTATTTTTTATTTTTTCCCCAGGCATTTGGTTTCCCGATGCTGATTTGTCATGTTGATGGAAAACCCGAGATGTTTTTTGGATCTGACAGATTTGAGCTCATGGCCAACTGCATTGGTGAGAAACACAGAAAATACTGTACACATGCCAAATCATCATTGATTTGAATGTAGAAATATTAGATTTGAATTATTTACTTGAACCATTTTATGGTGGAATGATAATATAACAACTTCAGCGCTGTTTTTTTGTTGTCGTTTTTTTAATCAAACCTATAATTGCATATTCAAGTTGGAGATGTTGGTGGATTTTCCCAAAATTGTACATGTAGAATCAGATATACAGGCAAACATCACGCTAATGTTTGCTTAAATGCTACTGAGCAACTTTCCCCTAACATTCATCAACAAACTTATGGCAAAATTCTAGTTGAATATTTCTCATCAGAAATGGTAGAGCTCCTTTAAATTGTTTGGTTTCCAATCATGGATTCAACTTTTAGGCATAAATTTCAGTGGGGTTCACAGGGTGACCCCCATTGAAATTATTTTTTTTTCAAAGCTAATTCATTTTTTGTAAAGCTCAGTATGCTAAATATGTATGGATTATGTTAAAAAGACAGGATTGTGCCTGGAAGCCAACCAATTTAAACAAACTCTGCTATTTTTGCGCAGAACAGTTTTAAAATATACTAAAACTGATGTTTGTAGCTGAGCTGAAACTTGCTAATATACATATATTATAGGGAGTGTATATAGTTGAGCCTGTGTGCCCACAACGCCAAAATGGATTCCAATGTTTGCACATAACTCTTGTTTCTAAAATCACTGTAATTGTTTGTGGTGTAATCATTTCACTCAGGGTTTAAATAAACACACAAAATGATGATGGCCAGGATGACTGTAACTATTTATAAAAAAATATGAGGCATAAGGCACCTTTACTTACACATTATGACTTAATGGGACATTAACTGAACTTTAACGTTGCACTCATTTAAAAAAAATGCAGATTCAGGATGAAATCGTGGGATTTTGTATGACTAGGTGTTTCCATACTCCGGCTGTTTGGAGTCTGAAAAGATGGTCTCATTTGTTTCTGATTTTGCATGTCGCTACAGAATCAGATACATGTATTGTATTCTAAAAGCTAATGGTTTTTTGTTTGTTGCAGGAGAGAAGTGGTTGGGGCCTAACCCAGACAGGTCTGCCTCCAGGCTGTGAGATCAGACCTCCTTTAACTCACTATTCCAGCCAACACAGATTTTCTAAGCTGTGCCTTCTGAAATTTATGTAAAGTCTACATAATTTTTGTTTGAGACAAAAGATAAAAAATAAATTTTTTCTGAAAATAATGTTCCTTGCAGCAGCGTTCGCTACATTTAGATGCTAACAGGTCATTTTTATTGTTGGCTCTGCTGTTGACGTGGCTCTGTGACTTATGTTGCAGTCTGTCCATTGGTTTGATTCAGAGAGATGGGATTAATGGAATCAAATGAATGAATGGCTTTTTGTCAAAGACCAGAGCAAAGTTGATGTTTGTGTTTCTAATAAAAACTTTAATAAATCTTTAATAAATCTTTTCTTGATCTGATGAAAGTCTGTGAACCTTTAAGATTTTAGAAAACCCTCTCCCTAAATCTGAACACATTTATTTCCCCATTACATTAGGGGTAGTTGTCATTAGATTAGATTACTTAAAAAGGTGTTCTCCAGCAGGGAGCGCTGGATTCCAGTTTGTGTTGGTGAAGCGAACTTTGAACTGACCCCTCATCTATTATCATGAGGTCAATTGTTGCCTGAAGGACACGATCTTTGACAAGTGTTTATGGAGGGAGTCTCCTTCATCGGAGGTTTTTCTGACCAGTCTTGGTAAGAGAAGACTTCCAACGAAGCAGAACCAGAACTTTCTGAAGGGACTTTACTGCTCCTTCTAGATTCTGCGACTTCAGATAAGCAGACCACAATAAGTGGGGAAAACAATAGAGAAGCTGTTTAAAGCTATTAGCTAATTACGTCTTTTGCCTCTTGTGATGTCATTAACATGAACAGACACAAATCAGAGTCAGTTGTTTAATTCTTATTTCTTTTTAAAAGACCTGGAGTGGAAATGCATGCTCATTAGCGAGCTGTGCCTTATTGTTTGTGTAAATTTGTTAGTTTAAAACAAAATGCAGCACTAACATAATATCTTTAAGATGAGAAAATTAACAATATAAGTAAAAGGACATGTGATAAAGTAGAAGAGTAAATGTAGTGTAATAAAAGTACAGGAACATCAAGGATTTGATCTCTGCGACTTTTAACGTTTCAATCTTTCTCTTCAAAATCTGTATTTATCATAAGTGGTTGAACTAAAAATTGAGCCAAGAAAATATCAGACGTTACCTATTCTACTAACCTAATATGAAGAGGGAGTAATGCAGAAAATAACCCAAACAAGTGATTTTATCTAAAAAAAAAAAATGAAAAGAGTAAAAAAGAATATTATTAAAATTTTGATTCACTGGTAATTTTTCCTGCAAGAACAACAAGTGCCATTATTTTATCTTAAAGGAAAACAGTAACAGTTAGTAGGTTGTCGCGCCCTTCATATGAAGTTTAACCTCTGATACAATCCCAGCTTTGTTTGCTTATATAACCAGAGGATGCTGACATTTGTTTACCTGACAGGGCAGGAGAACCAGTTGATGTCTGTGAGTCATGACCACAAATGGCCGCTCTTCACCGGACCCAGCGGCGTTGCATTACTTCTGTGAAAACAGTTTGGAAATATTTGTTATTAAACTGGCTTTGTGTAAAGCAGATCTGCCACTCTCCGGTTCAGTCGGCCGTCGCAATGTGCAGACAGGAGATTTTGGCTTGTGGTCGCTAATGTTCAAAACACAATTTGCATTCGTGGTTAGAAGCTTTTGTCAACACACTCCAGGAGCTGCCAAATCAACCTGACACAAACGTTTGACGATGAAACAGAACTGGACTCAGTTTATATGGTCACATTGTCATTTGATACCTAAATCTGAAAAACACAATAAAAATTTAACGTAAATTGTGTCTATGCAACAACAATGTTTAAGGTTTCTAACCCTAACCCTTTATGTGAGACTAATGTACTAATAAGTAATTATATTTTTTGTTAAATGATGGATATTCAACCGTTGTTTTGCTTTGAAAATCATCAAATTCATACTATTTTATGTACCTAAGGTTTATCAGATACAGAACCAGGGATAAAAGCATCAGCACATCTTTTGTTGCTTTACAGCCAAATGTTTCATCTGACAGACTGAAAACAAAGTAGCACATGATTATAAAGCCAAAGGGAAATATAAGATGGCACTCAATTTGTTTGGCCTACATATTTATCTGGCCTTTTTAGTCAGATCACCCTAAATATTTTTTGGTCCATCTTTTTTCCACTTTGCAATTAAGTAACCGGGGTGCACAGTGAGGGTCGTGGTTGTGTTGCCGAGGTATGAAAACATGTGCGCTCATTGTGATTAAAAATAAAAAGCTGTTTGTGTTTTGCTGACTAAATGCCCATGAGACAGAAAAGCCAGTTATGCAAGTTTCCGATCAAAGAGGTGGAAACTATAAAGTGACAAGGAGTGGCTGGACCTGTTTCTGTGAACAAAGGGCAGAAAAGGAGGGCAAGAAAGGAATTCGCATTCAAAAAAAAAACCTAACGAACGGCTGTCAGAGAGAGGAAGACAGGCGACAGGTGAGTGTTTTGGGGCCCGGACAGCTGATTTCAGTCCTCAGCAGCATCACTCCAGCAGCGAAGGAGCGTGAGGGCGGAGGAAGGAGAAGTGAGGAGTGAAGGATGTGGTGCAGGTGATGAGGGTGGAGTCAAAGGAAACACCGAAGGTGGGAAGGTAGACAAACGGAGAGCAGCAAATTGATCCCCGGAGACGAAGAACACAAGGAGGAGCTGAGGAGCACAGCTGACAGGATGCAAGCAAAGTGCCAAACGGTGTGAGGGAAGGAACCATGCACCTGCGATAAGACGATTCTACACACTGTATATTTTCTTTGACGTTCAGAAATTCGCCCACATAAGTGAGGTAAGAGTTTCTTTACTAAGTTTCTGAAACACAACCCGATCTGTTTTACAACAGGAGCTCATTCATCCACTGTGTAGATTCAGAAACAGCTTAGAAAATGCAACTTTTAGTTGTTTTCAGGATGGTTTTATTGAGAACTGGCGTTCTTTATGTTTGAACACTGGGTGTGAGGTGCAACACAAGTTTTAATGTGACAGTAAAATGCAGATTAACAGGTTTGGTGATCTAGGATATGACGTGAAGGGATGATGACGAGACTGAAGAGATTTTATTGCGAACCCCATATCTGCCTTGTAGTGCATTTTTTAAACCACAGACCATCCAGCACACAGCATGGACAGATTACTTGGTTATACATGCTTCTTTGGTGATGATTACACAAGTTCTGATGGTGATAACTAATGCAAATATTGGACCACAGCTGCAAAATTAATATGTAAAATTATGATGGTTGTGTAGCTAGAAGATAAAAACAACAAAGTGAGAAGGGGGGAGGAAGAAAACATTGACACTTGGCGCGTTAACACAACATCTGAGGTTCCTGGTCTCGGTTACAGTTCAGGCCTTTCTTAGCGCTTACGTGTGAGAGTCAAGTTACAGACTTTGCTCCACAAACAACACAACTAAGTGTCTTTCAGGGAAATCCAGTCCCTTAATTTGTTGATTTAGACTCATAGATGCTTCATTTCCACTTCTATGAAGAAGTCAATGTTGATGTTTTATTCGGTACCTGAGGCTACACCTTCAGTCTCAAATAGAAACACTTATTTGCACTTTAAAGACTGATCTTTAAAGTCAGTCTTTAAAGATCTCTGTTATTCGTGTGAAGTGACCTTCTCTATTGTTATTATTGTTATTACCGAGCTTTATGGGAAATACTTAATTATTCATTGAAGTTGGAAATGATGAATGTGTGTTGCTGGTTCTGTTCCTGAGTGTCCCTTCAATCTCTTTCAAACTGACAGGATGTCAGGATCAGACTCTCTCTGCACTCATGGAGACACCTTCTGTGGTGAGTTTTATCAGAACCGTGAACCTCTGACCACTAAACAGAGACAGCTTTCATGATACTTTTCGGTCCGGATCAGCATCATCTTAAAAAATACATTTTCCGTCCTTAAAGGGGGCTGAACATGCTCCCTAAGTCCAGAACTCAAACTCAAATGTCCCTTTCTGCCAGGTGCAATTTATGAAAGTATTTGCAAAATCCCTAATTTGGACTCTGGATTATAGGTCTTTAATTTTCCATTTTATAAATGCGGATTTTTTTTATTTGTCTTTCTCTTTTTTCGTCTTTTGAACTTGCAACCTGAATTTAACATCCTATCTTTGTGATATTTCCTCATTTGTGTTAATAAGCTACATAAATCTGAACAAAACACACACTGTCCAAATTATAATAAAAGAAACATTTTATTTTAATAAGTAAAACCTCAGACTTGTTGCCAGTTAAGTAAACACATAACCTCGTGTCCGGTCACCTTGCAGAGATCCGTGTTTATGAACAGGAGGTGATTGTGGTGCCCGTCCTCCTGCTGGCCAGCTTCCTGGTCACTCTGGTCTTCATTCTGCTGCTGCGCTACTGCCCAGAGAAGGTCGACCGAATCCGTCCACGAAAGAAAATTACCACCAGGAGGATACTGCAAGGCATTGATGGTAAGTGGAGCAAAAACTATGAGAACTATGTGGGGTTGGCATCAAAACCTGTTTGTCATTCATGTGTCACATGATCTTGTAAGTCATCTGAGTTCTTGGAGTTTCCTTGTACTTCCTTGAATTGTACTTTTGGAAAACCTGCCGATAGAAAATTTGATGAGATTGAGTCTTTCTTCTCTTTTTTTGTTATTCAAAATGCATCTTTGTTATTTAAGTTAGGTTTTACATTTGTTGTTTATTCCATAGAGATGACTCCACTTCCAAATTAATGTTGTGTTGTTTTCTACCAAAGATACTTTCAGTGTGATGTAAAATCAAATGTTTGCAGACACGAGATGAAAAAATAACCTTTTGAATGACTTGAGACAAAAATTAAAAAGTTATTAGAATTAATATTGGAGCCAATTTTTTGACATCCTTATGTGTTGTCTTATAGTCACTCCAAAAATGTCTTATTTATGTTTATGTGAACATTAAAAAACATTTTTAAATATAGAAGTTTGCTGGAAATATTTGAATTGCTGAAAATTTGTATTTAAGGAATGGAAACGTCCGAAAAATCTGATTTAGTTTTGGCAGGAAAATAAGGTAGGAAGAAAAAAAAAACATATATGTATTTTTATGCATACTATCTATGTGGCCATCTTTAAAATGCAGTATTTTGTCTGAAGGGATATTACTGGAGAACACAAAGTGTCCAAGCATTAAGAAAAAACTGAGTTATTAATTCTTCTTTATCTCAAGTCAACTTTATTGTGATGATGATCATCACAATGTTCTATTGAAATTGATGTAAATATTTTTACAGAACAATAAAAAAAACACCTACAACCCATTACACATCACTCTGCTATATCAACTTTACTTTTAAAGCTACAAGCCTCACCTTTCTGTAACATTATTCAAACACATCAGACATATTTTGTCGCCTACAGATAACATGTTGGCCCATTTTCGTATTTGCCTTCCTCTTGATCAGGATTTAACCAATAAAATGATTTAAAAACTTGCTTCCACATTCACAGACTTCTGGTGACGTCACTTATCATTCCAATAATTTAATTCTTTAAATGTCTTTAAATAATCTGCTTGTAGCACAAACGCCATTAAAAAAGAATCTACTCCTCAATTCATGTAGAACAATTTCTGACAGTTTAAATTATCGCTATAGGACCTAAAACAGATTCATCTACACTTTGTTACTTGCTAATTCGTCTGTTCTCTTCTGACTTCTTTCAGCTCCACCTGGTCTCAATGTACTTGAGCACGAAAGCATCGCGTTGGATATGCCCACTTCCTACTCCACCTTCGACGCTTCGAAAACGTATCAATCTCAAAGGTTTCCCACGCCGATGAGCGCTCCCGCTCCCTCACCCAGCCCCCTGCTGGATCCCATCAAGACCAGTTTCACTCCCATCGTCCAGCCCAGAGAGCTGCCCCGCCAGAGGCTGCCAGAGTCCTTCAACCTGGTCGCCCCTCTGCAGGGTTCCTTCTCCCTGCGAGCCGACGCGTCTGTGTCTCTCTACAGGGCACGCATGGAAAACAGGAATGTGGTGCTCCGGGTCCTCAAAGGTGAGGAAAATTACGTCTTTTAAAGACATTTCTTTAAAAAAAAAAAAAAATCTGTTTTCAAGACCAGATTTTAAAAAGTCATTTACCATCGGTTCCCTCCACAGACTCAGCAGACGCCGATGAGAGACATGACTTCCTGGGCTTTGCGTCTTTCCTCTCTCAGCTTGGTCCGCATCCATTCCTGCCGGAGCTGCTCGGCGTGGTCTCGATTCGAGCTCCCCTGGTCACGGTGGTGGAGGAGCTTGAAAACAGGGATCTGCTCAGCTACTTGTGGCAATGCAGACAGGTAAAGAAGAGAATGAGCTCTATTTTCATATACCGCATCACAAAGTTTGGAGGCCACAGTGGTGTGAGACAGTATTTACCCTCTAACTGAGTTCCAGGTTTAGCACTGGCTCTTATTCTCTCTTTACGTTGATAATATCTCTCTCTGTGGTTTGCTGAAGTCCCAGAGCGTAAGAAATAATCAAACTTATTCAGATTGGAGCATGATGTGCGGATCTTATGGTCTACTTCATGTTGTCAGACTGGTTCTGTTCAAGGCATTTCTTGACTCCACAGGTCTGGTAGTAATCAGGCTTGTGTGCTAGTGAAATTTAAATCAACTGCCTGAAATGTTTGGTTAATCATATTCACTTTATGGATTACTTGGGGGAAATTACGTTTCACAGCCGTGTATAAAATTACTACAATATTCAAACTGATAGAAAACTACATTATTATTCAAATGCAAGTGTGTCTAACAAGTATGTCTCCTTTTTTCCAGGACAAAGTGGATAATCCGTGTGAAATGACTGAAAGAAGAATATTCACTATGGGCAGTCAAGTTGCTTCTGCTCTGGTTTGTACAATAATGAAACATTCTCTTTTGCAGCTAAAAATATTTCAAAAATACAAAATATGATACGATAATAGATGTTTTCCATATACTTTTGCCATTTTTTTCATGTGTCCACCACGTTAACTAAACACATTAAAAAAAAAAGTTTTTCTTAGCTTATTCTGAACGGGATTTTTGTGGCCTATCTAATCCTGAAGTTCTTGTTTTGCTGCATTGTTAGGAGTTCCTCCACAGCAAAGATCTCCTTCACGGAAACATCAGGGCCCGCAGCGTGCTGGTCACGAAGCAGCTCACAGCCAAGCTCTGGGGTCTGCATGGAGTTTACATAAGAAAAAGCAAGAAAGCCACTCAGAGGGACGATCCCAGCATGAAGAAGTGGCAGGCACCGGAGCTGCTGGTCAGGAAGGCAGCAACTAAGAGCAGTGACATGTCAGTGGTTTTTGTCTTGTAATGATTCTCTCTTTAAAGCTGCCCAAATCCAGTTTCCTACATTTCAGAGATGTTCAGATCATGTTCACTGGTTTGTGTGTTTTGTACGTTTTACTTCTAAGAGCTTCAACTGAATAGAAGACTAACTACATGCATTCTTTGTTCTGTTTGCTCCAATAGTTGGTCGTTTGGGATCTTGCTATTTGAGATGACATCGTTAGGTAAGTCCAGCAATAACTTTTGAAAACACTTAGACGTTAACTCCCCCTTGTGGTTGCTGAGGAATATATATGTAGATATTTTTAAAGTAAACTTTACTCTTAAAAACTTAAGCAGCAATGCTGACAAAAATGTTGTTAGCGCTTTCGTAGATGACAGAAATAGAAGCTGAAAAAAAATGCCGGTTCTCACACAAAAAGCCCCTCCTACCAATAAAATGCAGGAAACCATCTTAATTCTGTAGGAAGATAACATGCAGTTTAGTCTCTCATGACTGCACATGCATAAAAACAATAGAAAATATTTTTTTATGTGGCGCAACACATGCTTTCTGTTGCCCCCTGGGCAGCTCCCCATATCGGCCATATTAAGAACGGGTACTGGCTGAAACTGAGTTGATCCTGGTTTCTTCAGTTTATCTAAATATTCGTCTCAAAGTTAGCACCACGGCACAGCTGGATGTTACAGGAAGTTAGAAATGTTCCCAAAAAGAGGAGTGTTCATGAGAGGGCTGTCTTGTTTTTCACTACTCTGAGTCAATTTGTACTTGAACACTCAGTATCTTTAAAATGCAGTAAAATAACAAAGTACACATTATCTATCTTTACTCACTCAGCAATTATTATTTTTTGTTGACAAAAACAGATATTTTGTTTCTGCAGGACAGTCGCAGGTTTCTAAACATTTATCCCACTCAACACAAACTTTACTTAAGTAAAGTAAAGGCTGGCTTTACTTTACTTAAGTAACTCACATCTGACTCCTTCAGTGGATGTCAGTGCTAGGCTAATGCTAATGTGTTTGCTTTCTGTTTTGATATTACTTGTTGATAATAAAGCTTGGAGCATATTTTATAGTAATTCCAGTCAACACTTTACTTTGATTGTTGTGAATCTGATTTTGGCAACAAAAATTTAAAGAGTAACTTGAAGATTTTAAGTTGTAAATTGTTGCTGAATATATTGAGGAAATATAAACAGAAATATGCGCACAGAAGAATATTTAGGCGAGATTGACTTTTTATGTAGGCTTGATTTTTTTTGCAGCCAAGCATTGCTGGTTTGCAGTGTTTGGTAGATTTATCAAGCAGGGAAATCTGACTCGCATCAACTTCAACATCACAAAAAACTTGGAACACTTTTTCGGGTCTCCTTCTAAAGTTCTTGTAAATGTTACAATGGAACCATCTTTACTTGGCTGTTCAAAATATTTATATTCTTTTTATCTAGGCGATGCTCCATTTGCAGAAATCTCAATTAACGAGCTTCTGCAGTTTCATCAGAGAGGAAAAAGCCTGAAAAAACCTTCCAACTGTTCCAACTCACTGTAAGCATGTTACAAATGATTCAACAACCTTCTTCAAGTTGTTCATTCAGTGCAGAATATAACCAAAACCCTGCTTTTTCTTTCTTTTTTTTTTTTCTTAGATATGCGCTGATCAAAAGCTGCTGCCAGTGGAAGGAGCAGGATAGACCCCTGCTGGTTGAACTGAGCCGAAAGCTTGTTTCAGGAGAAAAGAGCGCCTCTGATAAAGTCCTCAAAGCCTCGGGGACGGTTAACCTGGAACAGTACCTGCAGGAGGCCGGATACGGAGAAGCCAACAGCTACACCGTTTTCTGATCATTTACGACGTCAAATGCCAAAGAAGAATATGTGTGTATTTGCACTACTATCTCCAAGTCTAATGGAGCACTTATACAAGTGACTTTAAGATGCAATCGAAGTGTTGCAAACTGTGTTTGAGCACTTTTGGCAATAAAATGGGATCTTTATTAAGTTATTATTCTTAGGATTCACTCAGTTGAACAGGGAACTCCTCAGTGAGTTGATTTTGGGAGGAAATTTCATGATTTT